TTTCCTACATTCATACAAACAAACAGACAAACGCGCGTAACGCCCCAAACTCAATATGGCCATGTGTGAACGCCACGCACGCATGCCTGACATGTACGGCCCTATGTACGGCTTTTTATGAGGTATTTGTACGGCATGTTGTATGTTCAGGTGGCTCGCGAGTCGCCCGAGATGAAGGCGCTGCTGGGTCTTGATCCCGCTGACCGGGTGATGGGGTTTTTCACTGTGGGGCGAATTGAGCGGGAGCGACTGGAGGGTTATCGAGCCAGCCGGGGACCCTGGTTAGATAAGGTCACTTGGAGGAGTTAGATCTTTAGAACAACAATTTATTACCAGGATAATAAATTTCTTCAACATATCTCGACAGTTTAGCAGGATTAACGGATTATAACGGCATTAACAAGCTATTTTTTCTCGCGTCAGCTGGAGGTCATGATCTTGCCCGTCGTGGCCGGTGGATTTTTATGTCCCGTTTGTCGACGGAGTGGAGGCGGGCAAGACAATATACGGCACTGTACGGCATAACTGTATTGCTCTACTGGGTTGCATTGCGTTCCAGGGTTGCGACGTGAGATGCGGTGGGGCGATGGAGGGCCACGCTGGTGGGGGCTTGGGTGTGTGTGTATGTGTGTTATTGTGGTTTTGGGGGAGGTTACGTTATAAGGTTATGGCATACTAATCGTTTGGATGGTTTGCGCTGCGGTTCGGGCTTCGTGGCGGGTCGCGGCTATCCGCTTTGTGCCACCGGCTGCAGGGTTGGGACGGGGCGAGCGCGTGTAACGGCAGCCGTTCACTTCGCCAGATAGCCAGCAAGGGCTGCGGAGGTGTTTAGGTGCGCAACTCAAGGCTGGCTTGGGTTATCCAAGCCTGAGGTCCAAATGATCGGTTGGGGCAAAATTTCATCATCGTCATTTTGAGGCGATGTCAAATAATTCGTTTGGCACAGCCTATCGAATCATTGAAAGCCGGAGGGGATGGCTGTATTGCCGGCTTCTAGAGCTACGCGAAATAGCTGATGGATGGCGCCGCCAGTCGGCTTAGGAATGGTGTGCTTTAAGCATATTATATTTGGAAGTCAGAATCGGTAGCTGGCATGGGCTCCTCTTTGGCGCTTGGGCTGTCGGGCTGGTTGGGCAGGCTGCCCCATGGCACCTGACGGGAGGATTGCGATTTCCGTTGCCAGTTGTCGTATCGTTTCACGGACTCACGGAGATCAGGGTCATTTTTGTTTTGCATGATGTCTCCATTTGCAGTTGCAGTTGTAAGCATTAAGCCGTCTCCTTAATAATAAACAACGGGACAACAGCCTGAAAGGACGGGGATCCACCTTTTCGTAATTCTTGCTAAATGTTACAGCTTTCCACAAGCTTACAATGCGTATAGTAATTGTTACGCCTTTGCATAAGCCTTCCATAATCTGTTCAGCACCATAAGGCTGGCAACTGCTTTGCCCTTGAAACCCTAACCATAGTTGGGATCGGAAGGCTTACGATGTGGAAGGACAGTTAATTCTATTATGAAGCAACAACATAGCAGCGACCTGGCATGGAGATGATGGCTGCAATCCGGAGCTAGCGAGCCTAACGACCAATTGCCCAATTTAACCCATGGCGCTGTCAAGCAAAAGCGGCGTCCTGCACGTTAGCTTCAACCAGGACTGCTCCTGTGTGGCACTTGGTAGTCAGCAAGGCGTGCATATCTACAACGTTGATACGCACAAGCTGTGCTACCGTTACGCAATTGGTGCTGTCAGGTGTGTCCGGAGTGAGGCCCGCGCCCTTGTCAGGACGCAGCCGTGATGCGCTCCTTGATGATTGCAGTAACATCAACCTTCCCGATGTGCTGGTCCATTCCTTATTACCTCGCCATACAGTATCGTGGAGATGCTCTTCTGCACCAGCCTCGTGGGCTTTGTGGGGGCCGGTGAGCTAGTTAGTTAGTTAGTAACTTAAACTGGCGATACGGAAAGACACGTGTCGGACCCAGTTGCTGGTACATGATCGCGAGCCCAGGAATGGCCCCCTGACTACGACAAGGAGGGGTGATGCCGCAGGGTTCTGTGTGTATCGTATTGTATTGTGTGTGTGTGTGTGTTTATACGTTGAGCTGCTCTCCGGGGTTTGGTAGGGCCAGGGTACGGCAGAGTACGGCAACGAGTATCACCATCGCGTTGCAGTTGTTCCAAAAATGCAGTAAAAAGTAAAAGCTCAACAAGTATACTTTTAAACATCCGCCCAGGGACGCAGATCATTGGCTGCGGCACTGCAGCCTGATAAGCGCCTGTTGCAACCCTTCGTTTGCTAACCGCCGCAACCGCTAGATGCTTTGAAACGTCCAAATGTCGCCTCTCGTACATCTGCTTCCTCCGGCGGTGTAGAGTCAGCCGCGGCAAGGTCTGTACGGCAGTCCCGAAGTCATGGTGATGTTAACTCCACCCCCTACCCCCTACCTGCCCCATACCTAGGTGAGCAACCCGCCCTGACACCCCGCAAGCTGACAGTCATGAACACGAGTGCAAGTCGGGTCATCCAGGAGCTGTCGTACCCGATATCCGTACTAGCAGTACGGATGAACCGGCAGAGGTACGACCGTGTACGGCACATAGCGCGCGAATGCTGGGAGAGAGAAAGTAGAAAGAGCTGTGTGTAGTACATCCATGTACGGTTCGCGCTTGTTTTCAATACACAGGAACAGGGAAGATGAAATTGATGCCGTGCCGACAGAAGGACGAGGAAGCCGGAAGAAAACCCCTTGTTTATCATTTAGCTTCCAACCGTTTTAACTGCCTCTCCCCTCCCCTCCCCTCAGGCTGGTGGTGGTGACCTCCCAAGCTGTTCACGTCTATTGCTTGAGCAAGCTTGCATGTCTGCGGGTCATTGAGACGGAGAATAACCCCGGGGTGAGTGGTAGGCTGGGTGGTTAGGTGGTTGGCTGGTGGTTGGTTGGGTGGTTAGGCGGTTAGGTGGATCAGGGTGGATGGGTGACTTGTTGCGAGTTTCCCGACCCGAGGCTCGTTGCCTAGGAAGCGTATGTATGTATGTATGTACCGCATGTACGGTAAATCTTATATCAAGTTTGGCTTCTCAGCGCATATCTGCTTCCTTGTGTGCCTGCCAGTCCGAACCCTTTAAAGCCTTTTAAAAACCCCTAAACCCCCCTAAAACCCTAAAACCCTAAAACCCCCTAAAACCCCCTCAACCCCCCCGGGTATTCCCCGACGGTCACCTCAGGGGTGTTGTGCGCTAACTTGCTGCCACGAACCCAACCTCCTTGCGCTTCCCTCCTCGTCAAGAACGGTACGAACAGTACGGACTGTCGTACACACGACACGGGAGTAGAGTGTGTGTTGGGGGGGAGTAGAGTTGGTGGGTTGTGTGTGCCGCGGATGCGTCTGTGTATGTATGCGGGGGGGGGGGAGGGCCGCTCTCTGGCTCGATGGGCCCCAGCCAGCTGCCAATCGACGCTGCCGTACGCCGCAGCAACACCTCTTGGTTCCGTTCCAGGCCGTGTGATTCGTGCTGAATCCCGTGCCGTGCCGTGTCGTGTCGTGTGTTTTCTTCCGCACCGTATCCCCCACTCCCCGCTGCTGAGCTGCACGGAGAAGGCCCCGTACACACATCCCGCATCCACATAAGCTCATCCAACCCGTACTCCGTACACGGCCGTCCTCTTCCCTTCAGGGCACCGTCCGTATCTACGACCTGACCCAGGAGGGCCAGGGTAATGTGCTGAGCGAGGTTCAGGCCCATCAGTCGCCCGTGGTGAGCCCGTGGTGAGGGGGTTTGTGTGTCTGTATGTCTGTATGATATGTGGAACAGGGGGCCATATCTTCATCCAACGGCCGCTACCCGGCAGACCCACGCCTTCCCGGGTATTTCGGGACACCCTCATCTAGTCACCCTAGTCAACATCTCAGTGGATCGCTCAGGTTCCGCACCCACCACCGGCATCCAACGGAATCTGCCGGATCAACTGCGGCTCATCTCCGTTCCTGGTCAGCTCGCAAGTCAACTTTATCCCAGGTCACCACCGTCCATCGACTAGGGGCACTTTTACTCGGAAGGATATTTGGACCCCGACAGGTCTCGATCCCGGAACCTCCGGGGGCATAAGAATGTGACCTATGTATGCATGCAAGTATGTATGTATGTGTACGAGAGAGAGGAGTCCGGGGAGTGCGGGGGAGGTGAGGTAGGAAGGCGGGTAAACAAGGGAGACCGTTTGAGGTCCTGATGTCCAACATCACCGGGCACGGGCAGGCGGTTGCAATGGCTGCAAGCGGCACACGGGACGGCGTCCCCACCATCGCCACCGTCACCATTATCCTCCCCTCTCTACACCCCATAGCTCCCATTTCCCCCCCGGCCACTCACCCCCCCCATCCCGAGGTCGCCGCCTTCAAGGACACCTTTTGGTCAGTTCTACGTCTGGTACACTCTTGCCCTGGCAGCAGCTTCACTCGTTCACGTGGTTCGTCTTTCCCCCCAGTCCCCCGACCCCTCACCCCCCCGACCCCTCACCCCCCCGACCCCTCATCAACACCCCCGACCACTGCCACGCGCTGCAGACGGTGCTTGCCTGGAGCTCCGACGGCGGCCTCCTCGCCACCGCCACCGCCAAGGGGACCCTCATTCGGGTCCACCGCATGCCGCGGGCAGCTCGCAGCCACAGCTTCCGACGCGGCGCCACGTCAGCCACCATTCAGTCGCTGGCATTTGGACCCGTGGGTCTGCCCGTACAGCTGCTGGTGGCGGCTAGCAGCCACGGCACGGTGCATGTGTTTCGATTGGAGGTAAGAGGGAGGAGGAGGATGTACAGAGGGGAAGAGTGAGAGGAGGAAGAGGGAAAACGGGGAAGCATGTATGTATGTATGTATATATGTAAGTATGTGTATTTCTCGGGGTAAGGCTTCGAGAGGGGTGAGGGCCGACCTGGTGGTGGGCGGCTGGTCACAACGAGGAAGGCTCACCCTCCAGATGGTGAGGAGGTAATCCTCCCCCAAAGGGCCAAATAGACATTAATCCGGACGGACGGAAACATAGGAAATATACAATTCCTCTGGATCCGCGGATTCCGTAAGTACGCCTCTTGCCGTACTTATGGATCCGATTCTGATCCTCTCTATACCGCTGCCTGCTTTTACTTGTAAGAACAAACAGCCTGTGCCCCAATCAATCGTGTCCTCTTCCGTCCTATTAAGGAACTCCTGTTCGTTATTATATTTCCTTCATACGTTGTGTTGCCTGTTCAGGATCCGGAGCCCTGCGGCGGCGGACTGCTTCCCAGGCCCGGCGGCTCAGTCGCAGGCGGGTTACTTTCCGCCGTTGTGAAGTACTCCTCGCAGATGGTGGGGGACCTGGTGAGGAGAGAGCTCCAGGAGGGGGGGAGGGGAAGGGGAAAAAGGGGGGCTGTAGGGGTGGGGGAGGGGTTGGGGTTGGGAGGGGACCGGGTCGCATGCTGCGAGACGGGCACGGGGGGAGAGGGGTTTCTCGGGAGGCCCCCGGGGTTCTCGGGGTGGCGATAGCGGGTTTTAGGGTTTTACACGTAGCAGTACAAGTTACTCGAACAGCTACTCTGCGGGGAGGGGGGAAAGGCGGGTTTTGAGGGGGGGGGTGTGCTGGGGGAGGGCATGGCTGGCGAACTGTGTGGGTGGCTTCGTGTGTTTGGCCCAGTGGAACCCTGGGTGGGGTCACGTCGTGGCGGGAGCGCAGGGCAGCAATAAGGCCCTGTCGGGGCTGCTGCAGTTGCAGTTGCAGTTGCAGTTGCTGCACATCACCCCTTTCAACGCCCTCTTCATTTCCCCCCATCACCTCCCGCTATCGACCCTCGGAACCGCCGCCTACTGCTGCTGCTGCCGCTGCTGCCAAACACAAAACCACCATTTCAACAGCTACCGAGGACTGCTGACAGTTGCTACTGCCGCTACTGCTCCCTCTGCAGGTGGAGCCTGCTCGCAATATCGCCACCATCCGCCTGCCGCGGTCAGTGGGTATCGCTATCTGCGCCTTCAGGAGTCAGCCAGGCAACTGCTACTGCTACAGCGCATCGCCGGAGCTGGCAACAGCCGCAGTAGCAACTACAGCTACAGCCACAAGCCCGGCGGAAGCGATCCACCCAAACTCCAGGGTAACTGTTGCGGGCCCGCCGGGGCCGCCGGGGTGCGACCCGGGATCAGCCGCCGCCGGAGCTGCTGTCGTACAGGCGGAGCTCGGATCAGGAGATCGTGGTGAAGCAAAATCTGCCTGCGGGGGACGTAGCGCCTGGGGGGGTACGACAGGGGGTAGCGGCGGCGGCTGGGGCGGTGTTCGCTGCGGGACGGCGGGTGGGGGTGATGCGGGTGCGGGTGTGTGTGGCGGCGGCAGGTGGCAGGTGGGGGAGGATGTGCGTGCTACGATTATGGTGGCGACGCAGGAGGGCTTGCTGTACGAGTACACGCTGACGGACCTGCTGAGTCAGCAGGGCCCGAAGTGCAACCTGGACGGGGAGTGGTCTATGGTGGGCAGCGGCAGCATATTGGGCTAGGGATAGGGCCGAGGCACACACCCGGCGGCTCTGAGGGGACCTAATTCCAGTAGAAATAATGGAAAACATACATATGTACATACACACATTGACACACACATACACACAGTGCAGATCATAAAAACACACAGATACAACGGAAAAAGCCCTAAAGTACGGGCCTAGAAGTACGGCAGATTCAACTTGTAGATACGATGAATCTGCTTTCAAGGAATTCACACTGCCTATAAAGGTGATCGAAGTGTCGTACGTTGGCTGGTACGAGGGCTCTGTACGACCCCAGGACGTTTGCACCCTTCCGACGTGGGTTGGGAGAATGCCGGTGGGGGGCGTGTTGTGGCCGTCGGGCAGCGCTGTGCGGTGAGCGCTCTCCATAGGGGATGGGAGGTGGCCCTGCTAGATCTGCCTCCTTTCCTCTGAGGAAAGAAGACGTGTGTATGATAGTTCAACTGAATTGTACGGTGTGCGCACGTGCAGCGACAGACACATGTGTGTGTATGTGTGTGTGTGTAATCGTGCACGTGTGTCACTGTGGGCGTGTGTGCATGTTTGTACATATGTACATATATTATATTTGCCGAGATACTCCCGCAGCACATACATACATACATTGATGACCTCCCGCGTACCCGCATCAATACCAATACAACGTCCATGGCCCCCTCCCTCGGCTTTTACGGACACACACCCGCACTTGTGTGCGGAACTTGTAACTTGTACATACTCTGCACACCAGGTCAGGCCAGCAGCGGGTCTACCGCCGCCTCTACCTCTACGCACGTACATACATACATACATACATACATACATATATACATACATACATACATACATACATACATACATACATACATACATACATACATACATACATACATACATACATACATACATACATACAGCCCTCCCAGGAGGCAGCGACAGGCGGCATCACCCGGAAGCAGCTGTGGTTGGTCCAAGCCCCGACCGGCTGCGAGCAGGCCCCCTGGGATGTGATCGCCCTGGCGGCCCTGTCTGCTATGGAGGTAGGCAGGTGCTGCCTGCGAGCAGCCGCAAGACGACTGGAAAGGGCGGCTAACCCCGCGACAGAACAGCCAGAGCAAGTGCAACAGATCCAGGCGCAAGGGCCCCAACAGCGGCGGATAACGGACTTCTTTCACCTGGCCAACGGAGTGAGACCGCACGAGGGGCCGCCGCTGAACGCGCCGGTACTCGAGGATCAAACGCAGGGGCCCATCGCGGGACCGGGGACGGCAACAGCAGCAGCAACAGCAGCAGCAACAGCAACAGCAGCAGCAACCCCCCTGGAATACGCCCGCGCTCGGGCAGTAGTGGACTTCTGGGCGCGCTTGCGCTCTTTCACCGCGCTCAATGTCCCAAGGCGGGGCTGGGACGGAGTGGGACCCCACCACCCGATCCTGTCAATCGTCGGGGGAGCACTGTGCTGCGCGGAGGCGGTGGACATCACGACCTAATGGTCAAGCGGACGCGGCGGGAGCTGGAGTTTAGGGGATAAGGGGATAGGGTGTCGAGGCGCGGAGGGGGGATTTGAGGTGGTGGGGGTGGTAGGGAGGTCGAGAGGGAGGTTGAGGGGAAAGGTTGCGAGGGGGGCGGGATCAGGGATGGGGCTTGGGGGGGTGCCGCGCAAGGGGACATGGGGGAGGGAGGGTTTATTTGCCTGGGGGAGCCGTACCGGCGGAGGGGGGGGATACCGGGGAAAGGGCGGGGAGAGCCGGGGGGGAAGGGGAAGAGGCAGAGAGAGCACCAAGAGGATGTAGGGTTGAGGGGTGGTGAGTGGAAACAGGTGGCCGTAGCGAGGGCGCGGATGAGGGGGAGGTGGGCACCCAGAAGGAGGGGCCGTACTCGAAGGTGCGCGCGTGGTGCAGGACTAGGTTCTTCAGGGTACGAGACCGGGTTTTTCGTGTTGCGGCGTCTAGGTGAGATAGGATCTTGGGAACCAGCCGTCTTGGTAGAGCGGTATTGGGGGGGCGCCGAGCTGGCTACCCTCCCCCCCTGTGGTTTCCGGAGGCTTGATCGCCCTGCGTTGCCGCAGGGTCTTCCCGTTTGAGTACTTTTCAAGTTAGACCCAGTGCTGTGGAAGGGCGCGGACTTGTGCGGTGTTACCCCCCCGACGGGTGCTATCTCCCCTGGACTAGCCCAGGGAGGGAGAGGCGGAGGAGGGTAGTAGTCTCAGGAGGCTGTTTGGCGTCTTGTGGTGTGAGCTCTTTGCGCTCTTTTTTTTTGCGTGAGGATTTTTGAGCTTGGTGACCTCCCCAGCCCGGGATGACTCGTCGGGCTCCCGGTCGCCCAGGTCCTGGTTGCGAGCTCTCTGAGATGCTCGGTTCGTTCGGTCGGCAGGAAGAGCCCCCCAGTTGCGACTTCGTTTATGTTAGGAGACCAACGGGCATAGATCCCGTCTAGTTGGAGCGCCAAACGAGCGCTGTTGCGTGCCGGCCGTCGTTTCCCGTGCGGCCTGACCCGGGGGCGGAGTGCATGAGACTAACCAGCCGTATGCACCCGCCCCTCGCGCTGTGCTTCGGCCCTGGGCCCCCGGCTTTTCAGCCCACAGTGTAATCAACGTCATACATACATACATACATACATACATACATACATACATACATACATATGGGCTTGACAGAGAGGCTGCTGGCGCTTGGTAACTATGTCCGTGTCCCCAGTTCCCCCGTGGAGGATGTGGGTCCGCTGCTGCGCAGGGTTAAGGCGACACAGCAAGGCCACCAGCTGCAGCAGAGGACCGGCTCTGTTCAGTCACCGATCCCCAGCCTCAGCTATACCTCCTTCCGGGAGAAGCTCGCTGCCATGTGCAGCGCCGTGGGCATCAAGCGCGGCATCATGCCACACTCCATGCGCATCGGGGGAAACAGCGCGGCAGCAGCCAGAGGGGTATCTGAAGAAGCCCGCAAGGCCCACGGTCGCTGGAAGACGGACGCAATGGTGCAGCTATATACCCGGATGGAAGACGATGCCGCACTGGAAACCACGCGCAACCTGGGCCTCGCCTGAGTCAGAGGGCCCCTCCTGCTATCTTTTCTGTCTGCAGTAGTGTAAGGCCCTTGGCAGCCCCGGTTTCGCCTCGCCCTGTCCTATCCGGCACCCCGAACGCAACCGTACAGCAAGCCATGAAGGCTATAGGACATAAATAACGGATAGGGAGGCCATGAGACTTGAGGCAAAAATTGTGAATAGGTGCAGACCAATGGTAAATGCCTTACGGCGAGGTAAGGACACTAAGCTAAGGATTGTATGATGTGTATGAAGGGTGACTGTGTGAGTCGTTTCAGTAACGGCAGTAGTTCCCGGTCATGCATCCATTTTTGCTCCGACTGCTATTCCAGCCTGTGTTTGTAATACTGCACGCCTTGTGAGTTTGGCAGCACTTGGAAAATAAAAACAACGTCCCAAAAATACGTAAAAGTGGCGGTAAAGCAAATGGCAATCGGTGTAGATCGTCGTCTTTCTAGGCCATCTAGGTGGCTCAAGCAACTATATGATCGGATAATCCAGATCGAAAGGGCCAAGGTTGCGCTGGTGGCCGTTGCGTTTCTGCGAGCTTTGCGTGTCTGCCCACAGTAAACAACCGCTGTAATGGCCATTAAGTATCAACGTAGCACGGCAAGCATTACCTGCTCGGCGATGTAGGAATGCAAACCCCGTTGATGCGTACGGTAAAGGACTTTAAACTACCAATGCCGTGGCATATTTTGCATGTCAACATTATGTTTTTGGTGTTTAGCCAAACAGGCAAACCTGGACATTTCTGTATGTGAACAGCTGGCAGTTGCCCCAGACCCACAACTACAGTCCTTGCATCGACGCCCAGCAACTCAAGATGAACTTTAACAGTAAAAGAACTGTGACTGATGAACAGAATGAGCGTCACAAGCGACTCCTTGCGAATATCCTCAGAGAGGAGGGGAACAAGAGCTGCGCGGACTGTAAGACCCGTAACCCAACCTGGGCCAGTGTAAATCTGGGTGTCTTTGTGTGCTTGACCTGCTCGGGTATACATCGGTCGCTCGGCGTGCATATCTCCCAAGTAAGGTCGTGCAATTTGGATACGTGGCTCCCGAAGCAAGTAGAATTCTGCCGGATTATGGGCAATGTTAAGGGCAATCGCTATTGGGAAGCGCGGTTGCCTAAGGACTTCAGGCGCCCTCCCAGCGGCAACCCCAATCCGGAGCTTTCCGCCTTCATCCGTGCGAAGTACGTGGACCGTGCCTTTGCGGCCACTGACGCAACGCCGCCCACGATCGACAACTATCTAAACCATCCATATGGCGCCGATGTCGCGGACTCTGTACACTCGCCGCCAGCGGCACCTGCAGCGTCATCACAGCCAGCACCTGCGCCATCAGCCGTGCCGCGCACTAACGCGGCCGATCTCTTGAACGGTACACCTAAAAAGCAGTCGCAGCCCGCTGCCACCACGCTGACCATCGACCTGCTCGGCGGCTTTGACGACCTTGGCAGTGTTGCGCCAATGCCCACCTCACCCCCCGTGCCGCCGGCCAGCTCCGACCCCTTCGGCTCCTTCGTGTCCGCGCCACCGGCCACCGCTGCCATCCCGGCGGCTACATCCCACCTAAACGCGCTGGAGTGGACGGACTTCTACACCGCAGCTCCGGCCGCCTCCTCTTCGCCGGCCCTGCTACAGCCCACGGCAACAACACCTACCGTAAGCATGCCGCAGCAACCTCCGGCCGCCGTTGCTGGCGCCGTGGCTGCTGCCGTTACTCTCGGCCACCACCGCAGCCACTCCATCAGCGAAGGCGTAAGCGTCAACCCCATCAGCAGCAGCGGCAACGGTATGGCCGCCCAGACCTCGCGCTTTGCCCACACCAAGACGCTCAGCTCAAACCAGCCGGATCGCGACCTGCAACGGCACCACCCCAACGGCTCCGCCGCCTCTGCGTCCTCCGGAAACCACTACCAGCCACACAACCTCCAGGACAACCACCACCACAACCACCATAACCACCACCACAACCACCACCACAACACGCAGCCACGGGGACCTCAAGTCCACACAGGACAGAATGGCAGCGGCGGTGCCGTGTACGACCCTTTCGGTCCAGCACCGGATGATCTGCTGGCGGGCCTGACCATCCACCACGTCATGGAATCCATGACGGCGCCCGCAGCAGGAGCAGCAGCGGCCACATCTGGCATCGCGGACGACGACCCGTTTCAGTTTAGCTCCTCGTCCTCCGCCGCCACCTCCGCGCAAGGCGACGGCAAGCAGTTTCATGCGCCGCGCAACAGCTTCCACAGGCGGCGTCCGTCCTCCAATCCGAAGGGGTCTGAGGAGATCCTGCGGCTGTTTGACACGGAGCCATCGACGGGCGCTGGGGCTGGGCTGGGTGGCGCCAGCGGTGGCGGCAGCATGGGCGCGGCTGCGGTTGGGCTGACGGCCCCGGCGGCGGCAGCTCCGGTGGCCCACTCGCCCTCGGACGATCCGTTCGGGGATTTCCTGAACGTGGGCGGCCACCCCGTCGCCGCGGCGCAGAACAGTGGCGGCGGCGGTGTTCATGGCCACCATTTCCAACATGAGCTGTTGCAGCAGCAGAAACAGCAGCAGAAGCAGCAGTTGTTGCTCGAGTCGCACGCCACGATGAACGGCGGGCTGATCAGTAGCGGGGTCGGCAGTTTGTTGTGATGGCGGGGCGTGGATTTGCGGATGTCTGTGTGAATGTGCGGGTATGTAAGTATGTATGTATGACCGGCCGTTGCTCTACTGTTACTGTACTGGGCTGCACTGCAAATCTGCGTTGCTTCCCCCCTCTCTCTCTCCCTCTCTCTCCCCCAGCGCGGATGTCCATTACTGGGAGGTAAGATTTGGTTGAACTGAGAACTGTGAGGCGTACCAGCATATATGTATGTATGTATGTCTCACGTGTGTGTCCAGCGATGGGCGTGGTCCTGTAATTACCCCGTCACCCCGTTGGGGGTGGAGAGGTGTACTTAAAGGCGATGGTGAGGGGGGACGTGGCGGTGAACTGCTCATCTTTTGCTGGAGGGCTGGCGAGCTGTCCTGTCCCAGAATGCGCTGCTCGTTGCTACACAGCAGGAGGGCCTCAGATTGTGGCGGTTTTTTTCCCGGATTAAGAAATGGCGGACACTTTCGTTTTACGACACAAAACACACACATACGCGCACACACACGATGGACCTTGCATGTACCCGTGTGGGATATGCGTCCTGAGAACGTTCAGCGCGTGGGAGCTCGTGAATGCACTCGAGGTTTGCGTCGTGTTGGTTGGTGGCGGTAGCGGCAGCGACGGGGGCCGGGGCGTTTGAGACGCTGCCTTAGTCCCTGGACGTGCATGTGGCGTATGTGTGTGCGTGTGTGACACTGAGCAGAACTATGGCCGTGGCGGAGGGGGTTGAGGCGAGAACCGCTGGCGGATGAAGGAGATACACGAGAGATGCGGAGGAGGTGTTCCCGGACTGGTGTTGTTCTCCTCGAGAATGCGAGTCAAACCAGCGGATCAGACCACCGCCCGCTCGAACCGGAAACCGGAACGCGGAGGGACGGACCCGGCGGGGGGCCTTGACCCCCTCCGCCCCACCCCACACACGCACTCGGGCAAGGATATAATAGGCGCACTGGTGGTTGAAACTCGAAACCCCGTCCAGACGCATGTGTGTAACCGGAGGACGGCAACTGAACGGGTGCTAGCAAGCTAGCTAGCTAGCTTGCTCGGTTGGTTGGCTGGGTTTGCCACGGAGCGACAGAGGGCTTTCAGAGCAGTACTCTACTACTCGACAGGCGACCGGGGCGCCCATGGCTGCTCTGCTGCACGAGTGCTGACCAAGAAAGAAAGATGATGGAATTCGTAGTATTGGGGAAAACTTACCTGGGTGGGCGTGCGTGTATGTACGTATGTATGTATGTGCAGTGCTTGACGATGGAGGATGAGGGGTTGCATGTGTGCCTGTCGTCTGTCCGTCTATCTGTCTGCCGGGTCATTTGTGGCTAGCTGCCGTTGCAGATGGGTGGTGCTCGGTTCCCTGTTACGGAGGTCGTGTTGGTCCGCTCCTCCGGTGCCTCCCGCTACACTCCAAATAGCCATGAGCGGGTACAACCCACACACGGAATCACCGCCAGCAGCTGCCGTGCCGTGAGAGACCTCCCCCTCCGGGCGGGCTCTTGTTGCTAAAAGAAGGGGCAAAGGCCGCGGGTTGAGGGCTCGTAATCGTATTTAAAAGTTGACAGAGGGGCGGTGGATTGACGGCGGGGGCGCCACAGCCGGGCAGAGGGGGTTGCGTGTAATTCTCGGCGGAGGAGAGGAGGGGAGAGGGAAGGGGCCTCTATTCCACAGGCCCTGGAACTACTGGGCATGAGTGAGAGAGTGTGGAGGGAGAGAGGGATACGGTATGGTACCCTGACCTGCCTGCGGGGAGTAGCAGCGGGGAGGGGAAGTCGTGTGTCGCAGTGCAGCCGCGTGGCCGCCGCTGCTGCTACTGCTGGTAGGGGTGGCGGGGATGATGGCGATGAAAGTTAAATATTGGGTTTGTAGCGCCGAGGCCTATTGCTTTCGTTGGCATGTGGGTGCGCCGTGCGCCAGGGAGGATAAAGGGGGGGAAAGGGTCGACGCGCCTGAGGTGTTTTGTGGGTGTCGTGAGGGTGCCTGATATTCCTAAATTTTTGTGGAGGGGACGGGAGGGAGGGGGCGTTCTCATTGCGTGTGTGGGTATGTGTGGGTAGGTGGGGTGGGGGTACACCTCGAATGCCTGGAACTGTGTGTCGACTTTAGGTTTAAATAGGGCCCCCGAGTCGTGTGCGGTACTGCGTACGAACAAGAGGACCAGCCTAGAGGGCGTGCGGGAGCTGTTTCCTCCCAGCAGCGAGCTGCATTCCTCCACTGTGCGGACGAGTGTTGTTGTGAGATGTGCCTGGCCATTCTTGCCTTGGCCGATCCTTGCCGTGTTCGCTGTTTGCGTGGTTGGCGGCTATTCGGGGTCCACAGCCGTGACCACGTGTACGTGTGCATGATGCGTTACATCACTGTGCTTTTCGACCGCATATTGTACTGTGTTAATTACGACTACTTTTTGCATGGGGGCGGGACGTAAGGTGGGGGTGAAGGTGGGGGAGGTGCGGCCTTCCTGCGCTTTTCGTTAATCGGTTGCCGCTTCTGTGGCGGAAGCCCACACCTGGCCTCAATTTTTTCCGACTACAGCCAAGTCCGTTCCGGAGCCGATATGGGAGACGCGACCGTGACCAAGCAGCCCCCTGGGCCCATCTGGCGGTGTAGGGTCACTCCTACCTCCTTAGCAGCCCGTAGCTGAACGAAAACCACAACCAATAATTTATCCTGGGACGGTGCGTGGAGGCGTGTGCAAGTGTGGAAGTGATCCCGCATTACATACACACACACACACAGAGAGAGAGAGAGAGAGGGACTAGGGATCAAACACATACATGACATACAGGGGGTTTGCATCTTACACCAGACTTCGAATAACAATAATCGAATCGTTAGGGCGCTGCGGTTGACGAGTGCGAGTTTGAAAGTTGGTGGCCTGCCAGGCTTAGGGAGCCCTCCGGCCGGCGAGGGTGGGAGCCCTCAGGACCGGGTGGCTCTCGCCGCCTTCACTCTCCACCGCCACCTCTCTCCCCTGCTGGTGTTGGGGGCTGCCATGTGCAGCGCCAGCTAAGCGGGTAGCGACAAACCGAGGGAAAGCAAATGCAAAAAGTCGGGGGAGTGGAGTTGAGTGCGAAGGGCCTAGCTGCAATCAAGGAAATGACGACGGCACAGGCGCCTGACGCCCTGGCTGATGACACAGACGACGACATATCCCAGGGGAGGAGTTAAATTTAAATGTCAAAAGGGTCCTGATGTGCTTAAGGCTTTTGTGGAAATCGGGATGAGTGCGAGCGTGATCTGATCGTTTTCGACGGGACTTCGAAGTTGACGCGTTCGGCATATGGATGGGTGTGATTGTCAGGGATAGGGAGACACGGAGAGGAGGCACGGGAGCAAAGGCTATGGTGGCTGTGGTGGTCAGACTCCCGCAGTCGTGTGGAGGAGATAGTGTGTTTGGTTCTCCTACACAGCCCACATCGGGTGCTCGTGTCTACAGCAGTCTTGACGCCATGATGCTCCCGCGCCGGCGGAAAAGCAAATCGCTTCCGACACCGGAGGACCCAGGTGTGCGACTGTCTTCTGTAATAAAGTTGTCTGGGGTGTATGCAATCCCTGCATCCTTATTGCAATCCTAATCAAATCCAGGGAGGGCTTTCGCCGGTGACAGGGGGTGTCGCAAGGACAAGAGCTTTGGACCCATCTTAACGACGTACTGACACTCATTTGACAGGTGGTCCCTTAACGTTATCGGACGTGGAGGGCGGATGGACAGACAACAGTCGGGAAAGGTGTAACGTGTTTCCAGAGGTGCCCCGACCAGAACCAGCCTCCCCTCAGCACGGAGCCCAATGATGTATGGGCCCTGACCAGAGTTCAATAGTGTTAGCAGGAGCTATGCAAAAAAACTACGAGAGAGAGAGAAAAGAAAGTCCATCTCTATACACACGTCCTGCCGCCGCCAGAGCGGGCCTTCTTCCCTCACAGCAACAAAACCCCAAAAATGATGTAAGATACTAGAACAGGGTTTGAGCGGTTCCTTCCCAACGATCCCGCTGTTATGATCAAGTACCCAGTCTCTCTCGACACGGAGACCGCACGCATTTAACGGCACTGCCCAGCTCACGACACCGAGGAGGACCATTTTCAGTTCGTTAGTTCGTAGCGACAAATGGGTTTCTGGGCTTTTTTTATCTCATAAAACTTGTAACGCTTAGCAGAGGTATACAGGCAGAAAGTGTATACCTCTTTCGAGCGGCCCCTAACGACCCAAAAGCTTTCCCCGACCCTCGGCCTTTATCGAGAGCTCGCTGACTGATGGCTGATATGTTGCGGCCGACGGGGCACTTACACTCCATCATAAAAGTAAAATAATCGTCGGCTCGCCGCACTCGCTCTGCCGTCGGCATGTTTCCCGGTACCCTGCGATTAGGCCTCATCGATTTTCTTGCACCTCACTCGCCCTAGCCTCCTAGCCTGCCTCGCCGTACCACCGCCCGGTAACGAAGGGTAGCCGCAGCCGCAGTGAGTAACACCGCGCACTGCAGAGCACCTTCCTTTGTTTCGTTCCGCTCCGCAATGGGGCAATAGCAACAAATTGTGGAGAGATTCATTATTACGGAAGGAGCATTTCTTCCTAACGGAACGCGGTGGTCCCGAACGGGTTATCGCTGTCCCCGAACGGGTTGTCGTCCTCAAACCTGGTAGCTGCCGGCGGCGGCGGCGGCGGCGGCGGCGCCGTCGCCGGAGTCACATGTTGCTGCGCCGGGGGCTGCGGTGGCAGCGAAAAAGCGGGGGCCGTACCGAATGCATTGTCACCAAAAAGCTCTGCTGACACCGCCGCCGTGCCTACACCGGCGGCGGTGTCGGTGGTGGCGGCAGTGGTCGGCGGCGGCGGCAGACCCACTGACGCCACTGTGGTGGTGGCGGCAGTGGCGCTGGCGACAGCCGCCGCCAGAGATGGCGGCGGCCCCCCGGCGAAGGGGTTCTCCTGGAGTGGTCCGCTGTCCATCGGCGGCAAGGCCGTCGGCGCACCGCCGACGCTACTCGACCGAGAGTCAGCTGCTACTGCCGTCGCCGCCGCCACTGCGGCGGCAGACTGAGCGGCAGCAAATGCACCTTCGCTAAATCCCCGTGCCGAAGCCGTCCCAAACGCATCATCACCGAAAAGGCTGGGCGTCGTCGCGAGCGGCGCATGTTGTTCCGCCGGCGGCGCGGCGGCGCCAGCGGCAACAACTGCAGCAGCGGCGGCATGCGTTGGCGCTGGCATCCCTGCGGTGAAGGCGTTGCCGCCAAAGTCCGCGTCTGCGGCGCCAGAAAGGGCCGACGGCATGGCGGCGGCGACGGCGGAGTCCGACGGCGCCGGTACAAACGTTGGCGTGTCAACCGACCGCTGGCCTTCGCCCCCATCTCCAAAGCTAAAGGCCGAGCCAAAACGGTTCATTTGCGTGTTGGGGAGGTCCTCCATTCCGCCGCCGCTGTAGGACTGATGTGGCGAGGTCTCGGCGGCCTTCAGCGGCGCCGCCGGGTCTATGGCGAAGGAGCTAGGCGCGTGGAGACCCGGCGGCGGTGCCGCTGTCGCTGCCGCAGGCAACGCAGCGGGTGCACCAAAAGCCGGTGCATCATCAAAGCCAAAGTCAATGGGTGCCGACGGCGCAGCTGCGCCAGGAGGAGCCGGCGGCGGCGCTACGTTGCTGCCGCTTGCGGGTAATCCGAAAGCAGGCGCATCGCCAAAAGCCAGCGCGTTGTCAAAACCACCTCCGTCGCCACAGTTCACCGATGCCGCCGCAGCAAAGCCGTTAGGCAGCACCTTGGCGGCTGCTGTTGCTGCTGCTGCCGGGACTGAAGGCTGTGTTGCAGCGGCAGGGGCCGCCCCCATGGCCGGCTTGGGCGCCGCCGCCGCCGCCACCGCCGCTGCCGCTGCCCCGGCGACGGCCTTGACGATGGGTCGCGGCGCGTCGGCTCCAGGCAGGGCGTTGACGATAACGAAGCCCCGTGCGTCCACATCGTCGTCGGGCCAGTCGATGACGCCTGTGGAATGCATATGTCAGAACGGACACACATTGTGTGTGTATGTGTATGTGTATGTGTATGTGTATGCGCTTACAAGTATTATCTATCTACCATATAACAGTGCCACCTCACACACACCCGAAATCCCCCCACTTCCCCCATACACGCGGCCCCTCACCCCTCCGCGGGAGAGCGCTTAGGCGGTCTTTCCGTTGGGACTGGACAGCAGCCCTGGCCAGTGTCAGGCCCGGTCAGATACTTGTAACCTTCACACACACACACACATAGACACGCACGCACTTACCTGCTGCCACCTCGTCCGCCCACACATGTAAGCCCTCCAGGGAGGCAGGCAACGCCTCGAACGGCACTGTCGTACCCATGCGCTGCGCCAGGCCGTACAGTCCGCGGTACACGTTGGCAGCCCGGGACAGCAACGTGGGCAGTGCGGCCGCACTCCCGGACGACCGGGCCTCCTGGAACAGCTCGGGGGGGCGGGGGGGGGGGGGAACACCATATCACCATTATCATCGCCATTACCATACATACATACACACATACATGCACACATGCAAATATCACATACATACATACATGCATACATGCAAACACCACCAGCACTCGGAACGAACAGATCCGCAAGGAGCCTCCACCGCTACAACCGCGACCGACAGTCAGGAAGAGCCAGGAGGACAACACTGTCCATCCATAAGCCCATCCACATACCTTGAGTTCCTGCTGCAGCGACTCCAGGGAGGACTCACACGCCTCCACCTCCGCCGCCGCATCCCGGTCCGCATCCGCCAGCTCCCCCAGCTTGGCTCGGACCGCCTCCTGCTGCCGCCTAAGACCGTCAACCTGCAGGGGTGAGGAGAGGGAGAGGGAGAGGGTGAGGGTGGGCGGATGGAGATATCGG